TTTTCTTCCCCCTTTCTACAGTAAGAGAATTTCTGAGAGCCAGATGCACTATGTGGAAAAGCTTGCTAAAAATGCAAAGCACTGATTTATACAGACTATGTACACACACTGACTCAGTTAGCTCTAATACAAAAATACACCACAGTATATAAGAATAACTCAAATGAGATATCCATATTATATTGACACATACACACAACTGTGACATGTGGAAAGTCTCAAATGAGAAACTCTGAAAATAGAAATAGTGGATAACAGAAGTCAACACTAGACTTTCACAATTCATTCACCAAAGCATAATGAATTGGACACATTTGAACAGGGAGAGACCAAATGATATTTTACAATATTATTTCCTTAAAAATGATATTTCAGGTAATATAATGGAATTACCAGACTTTGAAAAATATACCAGTTAACACATGACTTCATTGTAATCTACATTATAATACAGACAGAGGAACTAAACATAAAGGCAAGAAATTTAAAAAAATAATAAAAACTTTAGTTTTGGAAGTCTTAGCTTGGAAATGATTGGAATTCAACCAAGGGCATGAGCGAGAGCTACACAATTCAAATAATTTATCATAATATATATTTGTGTTGGTCTATTTGATGTTCTTTCCTTAAAAAATGTTAAATTGATACTAAGTTAAGTCTTTTAGCAAAATCTATTCTTATCCTTAAAAAGTACTTCGAGTATTCAAGGTGGTATTTCAAAACTTAAAAGTTGATCTTTTGTTCCATTCACATTTTCTTCATTAAGGACATTTTGCTCTACCATTAACCATTTTATCATGAATGATTTTTAGGAATTTGTATATACTTCATTGAAAGAGTCAAGACTTAGAAATAAAAAATGTTTAAGCTGTGCCTCTGTGAAAAACTCAGAACATGTAAGTTTTGTGTAGATGGAACTTATTCCTTGCTTTGCTGCCTTTTGTGTACATGAACCACCAGGTGGCAGTGGGGCAACACATAAGGTCACCAGGTAATGTCTCACATTCTAGTATGACATGGGGAGGTGGGAGAGGTGAAAATACCACTTAGTTAATCATCACAGGCCAGATTGTTAATATGAGGATGCTCATGTAGAAAATGTCAATGAATAGGCGCTCTGCACAACACAACATGTATGTGTGACATGAACATACAAAGAAGCATTGAAGGCTAATATAAACTTAGAATAGTCTAGTAATACTGTCATTAAACTTTTTATTTGCTTGTGTTTTAAGACAGGCTGTCATTACATATTTCTGGATGACCCGCATTGACCAGGTTGACTCAAACTCACAGAGGTCTGCCTGCCTCTGCTTCCCTTGTGTTGGGGCTTGTACACACCACCACACCAAGACTCATTGAGAATTTAGTAATCATCACATGTACAGTGCTTAAAAGAATAAGCAAATTGGAAAGTGAAAGGGAATTAAGGTAGCCAGAGATTTGTGACCATAAAAACTACTGCAAAAGTACTTACACCTGAGAATATTGAATATCAAAGATTCAAATATGTGTCAATGCACAGATCCTCAGAAGGAACATGGTATGGCTCATGCCTACAGCCTAATTTATTTCCATTAATAAGAGTGAGCCACATAAAATTAAATATTTTACCAAAATTTGTTCTTGAGCTCTAAAAACTGCTTAAAGTATTTCAAGGTAGTAATTCAGCCTAAACATTTGAGAATTGTGGACATGCTAATCAATAATCTTACAAAGAATACCAAAGCAAATGGAAAGAGTTGGAAGCCCAGAGGCCATGCTAAAGCAATGTATTAAATGATTAGCAAAGTGTATAAATATACTGAGAGAAAAAGGAATAAGCATACTATAGAAAAGTTCCCAGCTCTCTAATCTTCCAGCCATCTGACATTCATGTAAGAATCCACTTCTTAGAGATTATACTTCCTCATCATTCACCCAAATTCCTTTTCATCACATCTCAGCTCAATCAATACTTCTGTTTTCAAACATTTGCCTTTCTTCTCCGATTAAGTTAAATCACTAAGTTATAGGCTCTTCTAATGCTGTCATGCTTAATCAATCCAATTATTATCTGAATAAGCTCTTCGTTAGTTACTTGTTTCTGTCACTATACCTTAAACTCAATATGATAGAAAGTATTTCTTGTTTTGGTTGACATTCACACCCTAGAGAATTGTATCAGCCAAGATGTTTTACACACACACACACACACACACACACACACACACACACACTGAATAAATGTTTAGTCACGATACAAAGTACAAATTGTAACATACTTTTGGGGGGAACAAACATATGTAGTTTATATAACATTAATAGATCAAGATGAAATCTGCAGTATTCCCTCCATATCCAGTTAACCAAACTTTGAACAATTAAATATCATTTGGAAAGAAAAAGTAATCTCTGCATAATAGAACTCATGGTCTATGCAGACACTCTACCAATTGAACTGTAGCCCCAGACCCTGAAGCTGACTTTGTATGTACAGGAACTTATGGTATGAGCACTTGCTGTCTTATTTCCACATAATTTTAACTTTTAGATCTTTTTAACCTGGAGTAGAAGGCTGGACATCTTTGTTTTCCATCTCACACTGAAGTTATGTGAATATACTGTGTTTATGTGTGTAAATAAGCCTAGCTTTTAGTAACAGATTCTTATTTCTTATTTACCTGTGCTTAATTGTACTGTCTTTGAAACTTTAATAATTACACATCCAAGTACTACTATCAAATTACCAACTTTTATGTATTTGGGGGCTCAATTGTGATGTGCATATTTGAATAAATGTTTATAATTGCTATGTGTTCCTAGTGGATTCTTTCATCTTCATCGTTTTTACTAATATTCTCTGTTTTAAAGTTGGTATCTCTGATTTTAGTGTAATCATTCTGGCTGTTTCATGGTTGCTGTCTACATGATATAGCTTCATCTGTCCTCCCAATCTCCATACATTGTGACTCACTCTGAAGCTAAATTGTGTTTCTTGTCTGCATTCTATTTTAGGGAATTTTTCCATATAGTCTCTCAATCATTCAATCATCTCATTAATATTATATAGCTTATTTTTTATATCTAAATGACTGCCTAGATATTTGGATTTACACCTGCCACATCACTTCTGTCTTCTCAGTTTAGGACCATTTGTTCGTTTGTTCTTCTCTTCTTCCTTGGCAATTCTTGTTTACATTAATATTTTCTTATATGACATCTTAATTCACTGTGTTATACTTTCGCTGTATTTCCAACACTATTTTCTTTTTGCTTATAGTCATTTAACTCATAACAGCACCGTTCCATTCTTTAGTAAAGAAAAGTATGAGGTATGGTACAGAAACACCATTCCTGGGTGCTCGATTTCATCTTTGTCATGTTGTTATACATATTACAATGGCATGTGCTATGGTTGTGGTAATGAGCTGCTATAAGTTTGTATCTTCATAAAACCATTAGAAAGAAAAGGCTATCCAGTTCACACTTTATGCACATTTGACATTTCTGACTCTGGTCATTTGTTACAGTAGATCCATGTCCTCATTTGTTGTCACTTCTTTTTGCACTGTAAATCTTCCCCTCTTTGCATTAATTGTGAATGTAGCACATGTCAAATTGTATAGATCCAAATTTAATTACATAAACATTATTCCATGTACTTGTTTTTGATATCAGTAAAGAGATTGGAGGAGGCACCGTCCAGGGTTTTACTTTGTAGTCATCTGGGATGACATGATGTAGAAGCCTCTTGCACTATCTCTTTTCTGGATTCCTTTTCTATTAAACTGCTGGATTCTATTGGCAATATGCCAAGTGTGTGGCTACACTAATTGCCAGGTGATTGTTACACAGTTTTCAACAATGCCCTTACATATCAACTACTTTTTAGTCAGATTCAATTAAATCTAGACCACTCTGGAGGGGAAGTTTTGAGGCCAGGTATTGACATTTAACCTAAAAGGACTTTTAGCTCTTCCTTTTCCTTGACTGTCTGTTGGAAGACATCCTATAGTTCGTAATTAATGAGTTAGTAGCCTCATTTTTTGAAAGTGCGTACTCTCAAAATCTCTGTTGTTTTTAAGAGTGACCTGGTGATTGACCTTTCCTACAACTATTTCAAATAATTAAGTTTTGGGGAAGAGATTATGGAGCTAGACTGGATTTACCCAGTGACAAAATCTGTAAGCGTGCAGATTGTGGTCTGTTTTTGGAAGAATGATACCTTGAGATCATGAGTGAGAAGCTCTAGTGAGAACATCTGGATTTATTGGCATGCATCTCTCACCATGAAACTTCTACTCAGTGAAAAAGTTGTGGTAGGAGTCACTAAGAAACCAGTATTCTCAGAGTGCCTCAACACCCTGTAAGTGGAGGCTGGCTGGAGAAAGAACATCACCATCCTCTTGGCCACAGTTATACATGGACCATTTGTCACATTGAGGCAAGACTAGGAAAGGAGAATTTTAGAGATTAAGAATAGTTGATTTTGTTTTAAATAATTTGCCTTTGTGTATTGTTGTGAGGGAGTGAGTCTATGTCACTGATGACATTTTAAAGGAGGAGTTGAATTCCATGAAGTCTTCACTTTAATAATTTTTACTGCTTTCTTTTAAATTCATCAGTTCCATTTTCATAATAGTACCTACTTGTTAATCTATCCATTGGCATTTTCATTTTCAATATTAAAGTTTTCATTTCTGGAATTTCCTTATTGTCTCCATAATTTTTACTTCTCTGCAAAGTGCAGTGTACAGTTTGACTTGATCTAGCTTTATCTTGAACATATTTACTGTGGTTGTTACAAAGGTTCTGTTCAAATGCTAACGCAGATAGTTAATCTCCATTTTTATTGATCATTTTTATTTGATTATTTCTTAATTTTTTCTTCTTTTTTATATGATGAAATCTGTTACTTTAATGCTGGAGGTTGTAGATTATGTATTCTTCACTGTGAATAGTACAGTGACATTGCTTTATGTGTATTTCTTTCCAATCCTGTTTTTTTTTTTTTTCAGGATGTCTAAAGTAAAATGTATAAAAAGAGACCTGACTAATATACCACATGCCTGTGTGGGTTAAAATTCTATAATTCCTGGGAATAGAGCATTCACAGCACAGGAGTCACATCTTTGGAGATGCCAAAGGAATTATATTCAGTTACACGGAGTTCATCCTTGAATACATGCCCTAAATACGCATTAGAGAAAACGATAAGTCTCCTACAAACAAGAAACCCACGTAGCACTTTGTAAGTGTATATTTTGAGATTCGGCTTCCTGACTGATTATCATCTGTAATCAATAGGGATTAGGTTTTCCTCTCCAATTTCTTCCACATAAAGAAACAGCTTTAACAGACAGCCAATTCCCTACAGCAAAATGCTGAGTCACTTGAGACTCTTTCATGAACTTCTACTTTCCAAATCCATCCAGGTTCATCCTAATTTCACCTTTGTTCTCCATGCACGTTGCCACCATCCTATGCACTGCCATTTCTTACATGGATCAGTACGTTACTTCCCAGTCATTCTCGTCACTTTTTATTTTGACATTTATCGTAGAACAGCCAGAATAATGTTTAAATGATGTCATATCTTAAACCTTTTCAATATTATTAATCCCACAGATGAGAGGAGAAAGACCAGTGAGCCAAGTCATCATGGACAAATTAATTAAAGCAAGCGTTTTAATTCATGTCCATGGACTGTTTCTCCTTAAAGGAAGGTTGATTAAGAGATCATCACTGAACATGGGGGAAATAAGGGTTTTTATAATTCAGGAGTAGAGGATTTCAAAATGGGGATTTGGCAAGCAAGTAGGCATGGTTACAGAAGCAGAACATATAAGAACAAGTTGGGCATAATAACCTCCTGAAACAAAGATGTAGCTGTAAGGTGGTCATAATAACTTTTTGAAACAAAGGCATGGTTACCATTCCCTGGAACAGGCATTATAGAACCATTTGTAGCTAAGGTTATAGGTGGGACATAACCTAATCCTTGAGAAACAGAGATTAAATAAAAAATATGAATGAACCTAGTTTGTCTCTACTATAAGATGACTTTCAAGCCTAAGATAGAGGCAGGCTACCTTTGAATTACATTAAGAATAAATCCAGAGCCCACCCCTGAGCCAGTAAAATTCTAAATCCCACCAAACTTTTTCCTTCATCCTACTTCACTTCACTCTCCCCTTTCCCATCAGGCTTCAGTTCTACTGAGTATTCATTTTCCTGTTTATTTGCTTATCAAATACAGTAAATCTCTTGCTATTCTGGGACCTCTCTATTGCTGTTTCTTCTATCTGGAATACTCTTTCCTAGAAATTAACTTTATTTTTACTAAGCTGGTTGAATTGATTTTTCTCTTCCTGCCATGACTTGGGGGCTTAAAACAAATTCAATTGCATTATCTTAAAGATCCATGGGTTAGATGTTTACCACACCATAGGCTTGTCATGAGGGAAATCAAAGTATCTGCAGGCAGGCTGTTTTCCTTTATGAAGTACTAAGGGTAGGTCAGTTTTCTGGTTCTTTGAGGTATTGGACAACTTTAGATATTGAATTGAAGAATCCATATTCCTGCTAGCCATGTAAAGGGTGATAGTCTCAGCTTCTAAGTGTCACTCTAACTTAGGCAATGGCTCTCTTCCTTCATCATCATCATCAGAAATGGCAGGAAATTGCTGTTGATGCCATGTATCATATTTATGGCCTATTATTGTCCCCTCTTCCATGTTTAAGGATTTCTCCTAGGAGACTGGGTCCCATGTAAATTCAGGTTAATCTGTTTGCATAAAGATTGCACCCCATTGAAATGATGAAATAAAAACCAAGTAAATAATTGATGTAAGACATTTCAGAATTAATGACAACTTCCATGTTCCTTTTCTTTTTCTTTCTTTTTTTTTCCGAGACAGGGTTTCTCTGTGTAGCTTTGCGCCTTTCCTGGATCTCACTCTGTAGACCAGGCTGGCTTCGAACTCACAAAGATCCGCCTGCCTCTGCCTCCCAAGTGCTGGGTTTAAAGGCGTGCGCCACCACCGCCCGGCCCATGTTCCTTTTCTTATAGCTTGTAATTTATTCCATAACATCCAAGATCAGGCCTGGGGAACCTTACACTAACTATCACATTGACTCATCCACTTATTTCATTTGTTTGTTCATCATCTTAAATATTTTTATTCGATATATTTTGATCATGTAGCTCCCTTCCTTCACCTCCTCCTAGATCTTGCCCAATCTAACCTACTACTTGTTCTCTCTCCAAAAACAAACACACCCCCGAAATAAAAATCAAAACAAGCAAACAACAGACAAATAAGTCTAAAATGCCAAAACAAAAGGCTCACAACACAACAAGACAAAATGAAAGAACAGCAACAGCAAAAGTCATAAAGCTCATTATCTGAAGCTTACTACCTGAATACTAGCAGAGGATACTATGTCCGTAACAAAACTGCCTTACTCATGTCAACAATCCTTCATTACATTGCCACATTGTATTTCTTTCAAAGGGTTTCCTACTGCCTGAAACGTATGTGTAATTTGACCCCTTACTATTATTCTCTTATTCCATTACAATATGACCTTCAAGAAGACAGCAAAGTTTTTTTTTTTTCATTTTTACCTACTCCCATTCTTATATCTATTACCCGAAACAGTACCTGGTATAGATAACAGATCAGTAAGCCATCCTAATAGAATACATGAGTGAAAGAATCATTCTGCTTACTTATTTTTTTCAGACTCCAAGACTGCTTTGATGGAAACAACCTCTTGATATCATGATGAGACTTCAATGAGTATCAAATGTACTTCCTACCTCATTTCCCTTCTAAGCGTAAACATTTGTTCCTTCTAGCTGGTCCAATTTTGCCTTTGTATTCATTTACAAGAGATTTTGCATTCCTGTGTATTTTTTGCTCCTGTTATCAAGACAGAACTGGAGGATTTGGGCTCTGCTTTCTGTGTCAGTGAGGCATAATATCTCCCTCAGCAGACCACTTGACACCTGCTCCTCTGGTCATAACTTTCCATTGAGTTTTAAAATGATTTTGGGTTCTTAGGTTTAAACATCAGTAAGTCAATGCACAATGTTATCTTTCACCCCTGCCTAGAAGTAGCCTCAAAATTGTTCTCACAGTTCATGGGAACGAAAAAGTAGATCAAATCCCTGTGGGAATAATCAGTACCTGTTAGGCATAAAGCTTGACATCATTTCCCTTAATAACTTGAAAATATATTCTGTCTTTGCATAAGAATAATTCTGCTCTTTACAAGTTTGTGTCATTGCTGCTTCATAAACTGTGTCCCCCAATTCACATTTGAAGTTCTAACTCTTAGTGGGAATACATTTGATAATAAGGTCTTTGGGAGGTAATTGGGTTCACATGAGGTCAGAAGGTCGTTGAGCATCTCCTGATTTTTACAGGACCTGTTCACACCTTCTCTGGCAGGTAGAGACACAGGGAAGGTGGCCATCCTCAAATCTGAGAGAGCCCTTCAGGAAACAGTGGTGTTGTTGGCAGCCTGATCCACCTTCATCTTCAAGAAAAGTATGAAACTAAATGTCTTTCATTTAATACCACTATATGATATTTGTTATGACAGTTTGCATTGAACAGCACAAACCTTGAAATGTTATTGGAAAGGAGCATCCATGTTCCTCTTTTTGCAAATGAGGAGAACCAGGACTTCCAAATGTCAGGGTCTGATTTTTTTGTTGTTGTTGTAAGGAGTTAGTAGAAGAGTCTGAACTAAAAGCAGGAGAGCCAACAAACATTCCTCTGTTAATTTTGCATGGACTCAAAGCAAATTTGAAGCTGCATGCTGAGCTACAAAACCTTGATTATTAATAATTAAAAATGAAAAGAAAATGCCCATACTTGATCTGTAAGGAGACACAGGTAGGGGAGGTTTACTGAATGGCCATGTTGCTTGTCATACGATGACTTTGGCCTTTTAAACGTGACCTGTTAAAGGATCAAAGCCCACAAGTTTTTATTTAAGTTGTAATTACAATCTCAGGACTTGTTAGCATCTTCAGCAGTAATTACATGAGCAGCTCTCTCATGAATGTAATTATCTGATCTTTGATGTTCTGATCTGATGAACAAGAATCCTTCACAGCAGGTGAGTGTCACAGAGTGGCTGAGGCAGGAAGCCAGTTTATCTGTGTCCAGGTTTGGCCATGTTGTTTTTAAATTCTGCTATAACAGCCAATACATTCACAAGCATACAAATACAGCTTGTCTGGTTCAGTCCATTTGACTACCTTACATTGAACATTCAAGCAGGGGGTGGCAAAACTGGGAATTATTTCAAAGTTGAAATGATATCTACAGTTTTGCCTAATACAGAGTTTCTCTTTGTTGTTATTTTTCTTTTAATTGAAATGTGTATCATAACAAAACTCACTGTGTACAAGGAGAAAAAACTGTTCACAGTTTGGAGATTTCCCTTCATATAAAAAATTAAAAATATTAACCGTTGTTCTTTTTAAAATTATTTTCTCCTTTGATGTACCCCTGCTAGTGTTTGATTTCCTTTGCAACTCCTTGCTAATTTCAACATTGTTGCTGCGCAACGTATTGACAACATCCTGTTCTGGAAAATTTCCTTGGTCAAATAGAATTCATATAGCTGTGATTTACACCCATACACTGTCTATCACTAATTCTTTCATCTTATACCTACTCTCTGCTTATAGATTTTAAAACCTAGGTATCAGGCATGTATACAAGATGTTTATCTTTAAACTATCCATACACATTTATTGTAGAGTAAACTATATCGCAAATTTCAAAAAATAAATGTTAAATTTCTTATTTCTCTTTGGATAATGCCATATCTTTTTCACATAGGGATAAATTGACTTCCTTACTTCTCTTTGTACCTCAGAATTTTACTTTACTGGATATAGGGTATTTACAAGTAGGAAGAAAGAAATGTAGATGAAGGTATCTAGGATAATGCCATCCAATCACAGATGCAGTCATTGAGTGATGCAGCTTCCAGGAGAACTGATAAAGAGTGATGGCCAGCAAACAGAAGCAAGGGAGATTCGGGAATAATTCTGAAGTCTTTTGAGATGGCTTAGCATCCAAAGTCACTTTCTGTCCAGCTGGTGGCCTTTGATCTCCAGAACCCACATGGCAGAGGGACAGAAATGACTCCCACAAGGTATCCTCTGAATCGCACATGTCCACCACACCATGCCACATGTCCACCACAGCATGCATCTACCCAACACACACACACACACACACACACACACACACACACACACACACACACACACACCACTAAATACATGAATAGATAATGTAAAAAGAAAGCATAGGAAAAAATAAAAGTATTCTGGATTTCTAAGGGATCATATTCCTTTTGATGCCTTCGTTTTAGATTTAAAGAATCTGGAACTGAAAGAGAAGAAATTTTCATTATTTCCAAGCCACCCAGCTTATGATCCTTTGGTTCAGCAGTTAAGGACACTAATAAAGTCTCCTTTACATAATCTTCTCCCTCCTACATTCAAGTCTCTCACCAAAGCTCATAAAACATGCATTTTTTTTTTTTTTCTGATGGCAAAACCATCAGAAAAAGTTGTCTCCAGTTCCCATTCTAAATTAAGTTTTCTGGGATTTAATTAGCTATTTTCTGTTCATTAATAAATTTAAGTGCTTTATAATTAAATGGGAAGGGAAGAAATTGTAGAGGTTTCACAATAGTGAAGTTCTGTATTGTTTATAAACATTTTTATCTTGTATTTACCAGTGTTCAATTACAGGCAGTGGAGCAATTGCATCATGGTAATATTTTGAAATCACACTTCAGATCATCCATACTGGATAGAGCAGTTGTTTAATTGTTCACATGGAGTAGACAGCAATTGCCAAATTCCTGAAAGTACTTTCAAGTCCCAAATGACAGGCTTCTTGATATAAACATAACATCTTTAACATTAAAATGTGTATAGAGAGTCAGGAAAACAGAAACCCAGTTCCAGTCTCCTGGTGATAAAAGCTATCAAAACATAAAAAGTTTTGACAAATCTCAAGAGAACCTGAAAATAAACATGGAGATTTCAGGTAGTGCCTAAACTTATACCTACCCCAGAGAGACTGCAATTGTTTTCATAATCCAACTTTAGACGTTGTTGAATACGATCTAAATCAGGGATGCTTATTCTAATGACTAATTCAAACCAGTTGCAGTCAACAGGTCATTTATTTATTCCAAAATAAACGTATGTTGCTAGATATAAAATAAAATTGTCAATTAGTCAAAATAATGTTCCAGCTCTCCTAGAAACGACATGATGATGGGAATCCAGTAGAATCCTTCTCAAAAAGAGGTGTGCTGTTCCAAAGCAATGGAGAGAAGTGTGTGTTGGATGGCTCAAGTGAATCTTTATGGACTCAGCAGCCAGAACCCAGAGAGTCTTATAGATGATCCAGAAGGGTTGGCATAAGGAAGACATGTCCTGGAGAGGTGACTCTCTCTTTAAAAGTTAAAATGGGGTCAGATTTAGACATTTACTCTTATGTACGGGTTATTGCAAAACAAATGTAAATGTGTGTTGGATGGAAGATATGGTTCCTATACAGATTTTTATTTAAAAATAAAAATAAGAAGTAACACATACAACTGATATCTGGTAAAGACTTTTTAAAACCTTAACGTGTGGTTTGAAGAGTTAAAAGTGATAAACTAGCCCTATAGCTTTTTTTCTTCTTATGTGCTCAGATTCAGTTGAATATCCAAATGCAGGCAGCAAAAGTCACAGAAGTGAGAAAAGTAATAGCTGAATATGTGGCATTGCCTAGGCAAGTTATGTAGTATCTGTTTCTCTATCACACTTGTTATACCCGCCTGGTGGTGATGCTTTGCATGTTTTCCTCCTTCCCAATATTTCAGATATCTGGAGGTAGATTAAGGTTAGAAGAAGAGTCAGGGTCTAAAGGGGAACAGTCATCTGAGTTAACTCTCAACCTAGTTGAACAGAGGTAATTTGTTGATGGTGAATCTTACATGCAGGGAAATCTGCTTTAATCAGAAACAAGGGGTTGAAACAAATTTATTTTCGTTTCAAATATATATTCTACAGACACTACACACTTAGTTCTACCTGCCTGAGCAATTAGAACCCACGATCCAGTTCTGCTTCATGGGGTTGAAGTAATCTTTAGGTCATGCTTCAGAGGTTTATGTTAAGTAGAGGATGTGCATACTTACAGAATGCTTGTTCACTAAGAGGGAAGGACTTTTGAATTAAACATAGAAAAAAAATTCAACAAAATTAAGATAACAAATGTGCCATTCAGTTTCCAGTGAACAATGCTGACCTGGAAACTAAAAGCAGCCAATACAAATAACCACAATATTGTTAATGAGTGCCCATGGATAGATTTCTGTCAATGTTTGTCCTGCCTATCATGGGTTTAGTATCTTTTTAAAAATTAGTTCAATGCAGTAATTAACAATTTCTGTTTGCACCACAATACTTATAAAATAATTCTTCCAAATTAAGACTAATGGAAACTTCTGCAAAGCATGTAGAAAATATGTCAGATTTCCTTCATACCTTTTCAGATGCCTGCAATTCAAACATGTTCAGGTACTTATCACCTTGTACTTCTGTCTGACCCAGCTTAAGTACTATTTTTGGTTACTTCTTCATAGTTCTAGAGCTTTAACTGATAAGGATAAATACAGGTTGAAGACAATTCTCTGCCTGCTTTCCCCAGTCCTTAGAAATATTCATCTGGAAATGAATATTATAAGGAAAGGAAGCAAGCATAATCTGAAATCTGAAGTCACCCCCCAAGACCTCTTATATCTTGCACCATTCTCTCGGGAATTGCTTTTAATGGATACCTAGCCAGCCATAATGTTTAGTTCTAGCACCTGCCTTCAATATCCAAAAGCCTACTTGACCAGTTGAAGTGACTATGAGACAAACTATTCCCCCCTTTTCATTCCAAAAGAATATATGTGTAAAGGAACTCAGTTATCTTACATTAAGAGATGCAAAAAATGGGAAACTAGTAAATCAAAAGCTGTGAAATATCCAAATGCTACAGGGTGATGCTTTATATCAATTGTCAACATAACAAAATACAGAATACTCTGTACAGAAATACCTAGGCACACTTCTTGGAGGTGAGCTTATACTGGGTAAATTGAGGTAGAAAACCACATCATAAATATGGCATTATGTGGGGTTGGGTAAGTACATTAGGTAAGAAAGAGAAAATGAACTGGACACCAGCATTCTTCAATTTCAGCACCACATCATGATTATGTATTTAGTGAGGCAGCCACCTTATATTCCTGCTGCCATTTCTCCCTCCCCTCCCATGATGGACTGTGAACCCTCAAACTATAAGACAAAATGAACCTTTCCTTCCTTTGGATGCATCTGTAGGGTATTTTCATCACAGCAATGAGAAACACAATACAAAAGATTAGTACCCAGAAGTTGATCTATTGCCGGAATAAACCTGATTATGTGATTATGTGATTCTAAACATTTGGAACTATTTTGTGGGCATAATGTGGAAAAGATTTAAATCTTCAGGCTGGAAATGCCTTAAAGATCTTAAGTGGAGTTTAATATGACAGTCTGGTGGAAGAGAGGAAGGACAGAATGCTGTGAATTTTAACAATACAGGCCCAGTTCACAATATTTCAGAGAGGAACAGGGCACCCATCAGGAAACAAGACAGAATCATTATTATTTCATGGGAATATGGCTGAATTGCATCATGCCCATATCCTGAGAACAGAGTTAAAAAGTAATTAATGAATTTATTTAGCCGAGGAAATTTATAAATAAGGTACCATTTAGACTATATCATGATTAATGCACATTGATGTCATCCAAGTCTACAGTGAGAAAAACACACAGAACAATATTGGAATAGGTGAAATTTGGCAAGGAAAAAAGTGTGCACAAGTTTAGAGCTGCAGAAAAGTTTCGAATTTCAGTTTAAAAGAAGGCAAATTTGTTAAATAGATTAATGCATTGGTTCATCAGGAAAGACTCCACATGTACCATCAAAGGCTCAATTTGTGAAAACGTAAGTTCACTTGAAAGAAGAAAGCCCAAACTGAGGGGTTCTCTGCTGAAAATCAGTCACCTGTGAACATGGTTCTGTGGGGTCACCAAAGAAAGGAGAGTGGGACTATGGCCCCAGGTGGCCTGGAATCCTTCTAAACCAAGTAGAACTTGGTTCTGTCATCCAGGTTGTGATTGTTTTGCAGTCATGAAAAATACAAGATTTTCGGGATCAGGTAGTCTCACACCTTGTTTTCAGAGAGCTTCTAAAATACAGAATTGTGTGGAGAGGTCAGATTCCCTGCAAGGGGGTCAGAGAAGCCATCACACAAAGGTTGCAGTGGAGACTCCAGAATCTCAGAATTGCCAGAACCTAACTAAGAACAGCTGCTAATAAAAGCAAGTAGTAGAGCCAGCCTAATGAACAGGTGTGCTCCCTTTATGCAGCAGAGATGGGAACTCATGGCTACCCAAGCACTTTGAATCTCAAATTAGTCTATCACAAGCCTCAGATGCCCAGCATCTTCTGGATTCTGTGCTAGTCTACTGGGTTTCAGTCTTCGTTTTCTCCAGTATAGTTTTGCCTCCAGTATATTTTGTCTAAAAATATTGTTAAAGAAACTGTGATTGACCAGAAAATCCTGTGATTTCAGAGCTGGTCAATGGCCCAATAGAAAGCCTGCTACATTTGGCAATCAAATTCGGGACCTGAATTTTTACATAGGGCCCAAGAAAGCTAAGAAAGAAAGAAAGAAAGAAAGAAAGAAAGAAAGAAAGAAAGAAAGAAAGAAAGAAAGAAAGAAAAGAGAAAGAAAAAATGGATATGGCTCCTTTAAGAGGCTTTGCAATATAATGAGCACCTGAGCAGCTGATACATTAAGTAGAAACAGCAAGTTAGGTAAAAATGCCTGCCATAGTGTGGGCACCAACTTCCTAGAGCTGGGGCTATCAAGTGCAGCTTGACTGCATGTAGCTCTCATTAAGATGCAGCTCCCAGTTGAAATCAGTTTTCAAACTGGCTCATGGGGTATAAAGCTTGGCTCTGATGGACTCAGGTGGGTTGAGCCAGCTGCTATCACAAGGCCACTTGACCAGAAGAGGTTAGAGACACATAGTAAAGACAGATCCAGGTGGAAAAAAAAAGCCTTTAAGCAGGTTATACAGTGTATTTAAAATGTGTGTAGGCTTAGGAGGGAAAAGAAAATGGATATAGACAGTCATAGGAAAAAATAAACAGTTTAAAAATAATAAACAAGATCTTTAAAAATACAGTAAAGTAGTAGAAAAGGAAAAAAATCACATAAAGATGGGAAATACACAGGGAGTCTGCATCCTGTATGGTGTTGTGTTGACTTTGTTTTTTTATTTTTTAAATGCTGATGAGGTAATGATAGCTGTTGAGAGACACTGGATTGTAAAAGGAACTGCTGAATTAAACCATCCTAGATACTTTAGGGATGTCTTAACTTTAAAATGGAATTCAGAAAATGTAATGCATTAAAAGAGAGTTTATGCTTGTAGAAATGAAAGGCTGTGGATTCTTTCAAGGTTAATAGGGATCTAGTTTGATTGGGGGAGACCTCCTGAAAAGCTCAGCTATAGACACAAAGAAATAAACTGAGAAAAACTACAAGACAAGTGACATATATACTGATCCCTCTGCATGGGCACAGTTCTGAAACTTAGCAACAAATGTTACAGCTAGTTTTTCTAGGACTAGACCATTGTCTCAATTTTCTCAGGATGCCCTGAAGATGCTGTTGCCCCCAGGTAATGGGAAGCAGTCTAGAATAACTCAATGCCCACATTCCCAAGAGGTGAGGTAGATGGTTTTGGTCATTTGGTGGGTTATGGATGTTTGTCATCATTTAGTGGGGGTACAGGAATATAGTATAAAAAGACAACTATTAACCTGAAATGTTTTACATTGGTATGGATCTTGGTATATTGATATAAATTTAAAGTTATTTTTGTCATACTGTATGTGTGTTTCTACTCTTGTTTGGGGTATTGTGCTTATGCAGCTCATTTAAAAATATACTTAACAATTAGGAAATGCAGTTTAGTAGTTAGTATTCTATAGCAATCAAATTTGTAGTTGTGTTAGGTATGTTTTCAAGATCATACAAACATATATAGATAGATGATCTTCAAACATTTCAAAGATCTACATAATATGACATTTAAAATGTTTTGTTAATATAGGGCTTTGCATGACAGTGAGACACATTTGCTCCTGGCAGTACCAATCTGCTTCAGAAAAGGGTGATGGTCATTGAAGAACCACCATATGAACTTTGCTTTCATTGTGGGGAAAGCTTGCCATTTAAGAAACTGCCCTTGCCTTGACTGCTGTACAAACTGGACATTGAGAACACAAAGCAAAGTGACTGCTGAACTTTGCCAAAACAAGTTGGGACAGTCCTTCAAAATTCTGCTTCATAGAAAAGTCTTCCAGATATTCTAGGCCTGTAGGCATAAGATGGATGCCCCAATGTTGCAGAGGAAACTTGGGTGATTGTCCAGGCAGCTAGATAGCTCTCTCATTTCTACACTATTGGAAGTGGCTTCCACTGCACCACTGTTTACTCAAGTAATATATTCTTCTAGGGCCTTTGATGGAATTGAAGACTAGATAGTTATAGTTACAGTTTTCCTTATTTATGATAGAAGGCAAATTAGGAATATAACTTTTGACTCAGCAGGATAGTATAATAGAGTATTTTCTCTGAACTTGCAAAGTACAAATGGACTGGATATTGCAAATGCAATTCTTACTTGATAATTGTTCTTATTGTACATAGTCTTACTATCTTAAAGTTAAAACCTTTCTTTATATTTAGACAAAAAGGGGAAATGTTGTGGAATGTTACTTTAACTGTGTAAAGATATGCTGCATTTGTTTATGGTGTATTTGTTTAATGATGTAAAGATGTGTTACATTTGTTTATATTGCATTTGTTTAACAATGTAAAGATGTGTTGCTGTTTCACCTTGCCTACCTAAAGCACCTGATTGCTCTAATAAAGAGCTCAATAGCCAATAGCTAGGCAGTAGAGGGATATGTGGGGCTAGCAGACAGAAAGAATAAGTAGTAGGAGGAATACAGGCTAGAAGAGTGAAGAGGAGAATGAGGAAGAAAGAGAGAGATACGCCCAGGACCAGACAACCAAGCAGCCACCAACCAGTCAGACACAGAATAGGAGATACAGAATGAAAGAAAGATAAAAATCCCTAAAGTGAAAGACAGATGAAGATAAATGGTTAATTGAAGTTATATGAACTAGTGGGACAAGCATAAGCTAAGGCCAAGCATTCATAACTGATAAATCTGCATGTTGTGATTTGGGGGCTGGCGGTATGAAAAAGCATGCTGCACTATTGCTTGTGCTGATGGTCATACATTCTCTCATCTGTTTTTCAGGAATAAATAATACCGAGGGTTTATGGCATATTATACTACAGTTTTTGGAGGTGCTGAGGTCAGTCCATGTGTGGTAGGGTTGATATCTTTCCAAGAAGTTTCTTGAAAGACACTGAGTGGAGCTATGAAGGTGAAGCCTAAAACTGCGATGGAATCTCCAGGATGTCATGGCTGTCATAACCATGGAATACTCACAGAACAAGAAAGTGGCATGAACTAGACCTAGTCTATGAGTTATGTTTACTATAGGCAACAAAGATGAGGAATGGGACTACTCAAGTCCTTTGAGGCAGTCCATCATGGTCCCCAATGCCCAGAATGGAGCTGCAGTCTTTTTTCCCCTGCTGGAATTTATTTTTACTTTCATGCAAACTTTTGTTGCTATGCCCTACTCTCTGAATTCCTCCATTTTGAAGAGTGAGTATTTATTCTCTACCATTGTATATTGTAAATATGCAACTTATCTTTTTATTGTACAGTATCTTGCAGTTAATTGATCATTTGAGTCTCAGAAGAAACTCTGAAACTGTACCTTTAAACAGTATTGAAACTGGCAAAGACTATGGGGACTTTTGTAGTTGGACTGGATGCATTTTTGCATTAAGAAATGGTTATAAATCTGTAGGGCTCTGGGGTAGTAGGTTCTGACATAAAAGTGATATGTTTGAATGTCAAGATGAAAAGGAGCGAAACTGCTATAGTCAATCTTCTCAACTTGATGTAGTTTAGAATTACCTTGCAGAGAAGTGTCTCTGGGCATGTCTATGAGAAAGCTTCTAGATTTATTTAATTGGAGTGAGAAAACTCACCATAAATGTGGTTGGTATTAAACAGTTTAAGGTCTCAGACTGAGTGAAAAAGAGAAAGGAAGCTGAGCAACAACTTTTATCTTTGCTTCCTAACTACAAATATAACATAACAAGTTGATGCCATGCCTTCCATAACAAATGGTTTGTACACTAAAGCCATAAGCAAAAATAAACCCATTCTTTCTTATGCTGTTTTTGTTAGTATGTCCTCACAATGATGAGAAAAGTAGCTAATACCATGGAGAAATGACTCTTTCCTGCATTTATACAACTCATATACAGATTGCTTTCTCAGAAGTGCATGTGAATTCAATTTAGGCATTTGATAGGACTTCATCCCTAGTCATTTTTTTGCCCACTACATATTCACATTTTCTTTTCTGCCATTTCTTCTACTGACAACATTTTCTTTACAAATCTCTTCTTGCATTCTAATCAATATGCTTCCGAGGCAAAATTACATGCTATTTTAGCAAAGATGGAGAAACTAGGCATTAAATGGACTTTCTAATCTGGATCTCATTGCCCTTGACTAGTATTGCAATTGAAGTTCTCATAATTGGTAGTAGACGAGCACAGATAACCCTTGAGCATAAAGTAGTAACCCATTGTTTAAAATATTTATCAGTGGCCAACTAGATTGTATGCTGTGAACTGATTATATTAGGTAGTACAATGCATTAGGTATCTGAGAGACATAGAGTAAATAGTGACTCTAAGGGCATTAGAACATGGATGCTTTTGTTCAATTGGATCAATCATTGTGAATAAAGGTAGCAAGCTGAGAGTTACACATCAGTCATAAAAGTTAAGTATGAAGGGCAGAGACCATCCTTGGTAATATATTAGAGGCTCTCACCTTGTTCAGAAAGAACACAGAAAAAGCTGAAGGCCTAGAGCTGAACCACAAGGATAGCTAAACTTCAGGCAAGCTTAAATTCCTAGCAAAAGCATGCATTGTGCATAAATAAATAAATAAATAAATAAATAAATAAATAAATAAATAAACAAATAAATAAATCTTTCTAAAGAATGGGTGACTAACACATCTAAAAATCTTGAATCTCTAAATGCCCCCAAACTCTGTCAGCTTGCAGGAGTTGCCTAATTTGTTTAAGATTTATCAACTCCCTTTTATGAACATGAGTACCATTATAACATGCATGAGCCAGAATGGACAGTGTATTCCTAGAATGGATTTTGAACATACACTCTATGGGAGAGGGTAGTAAATATATTTTGTTGGTGTTTTCCAGAATATTATTGATCATTCTGCTAAAAACTCTGGGAAATGACTTGGGTGCAGAGTTAGGATGACCTTTAATGCCACATTTCTTGCTTAGATGCCAAATTTAAGTGAATGTCAGTGTTGAAATTGGTATGGTATACATTAAAGATATGGATAAACATTAAAGATACCATGAAAGTACGGATGTCAACAATAAGACTGTTATATGGTGTATACTATATATGGTCACAAAGCCATTAATTATACTTTTCTGGTTTGTGGGGTGAGGGCAAGAGGATGCATGATTATCAAAAGTATAATGAATATGGTGCTAATACTGGTCCCACATCAAAAAGAAGTTATCTTATTGAACTCTCTCAAAACAAATGAGTGAGAAAAATTAATATTAAACTGAGATCAATAACAAAATCATAAGTATTCGGGACCCCTTCCCAAATAGAGGTTATCTTATAGCATTCAAATATCAGAGGGCAGATAATAACTGCAATGACCAGTTCATGGTTCCTGATTGACTGGACTGATGAATGCCTAGAAAATTAGTAAAGTACATTTCTCTGTTTTTCTATAAAGTGGACATTACTTTTTATTTTTCATTTTTAAAGTTTTATTAATTGTATTATTTTTATGGATGTTTTGTCTCCGTGTATGTCTTTGTAACACATACATGCAGTATACACACTTGGTGGCCAGAAAAGGTAGTGGATTGTGTTGCTTTGTATGGCTTTTGTTTTTTCTTTTAAGTTTCATTTTGTTTTGGAGGGAGGTTGCAAGGGCAGAGGGGGCATGTGAGGGGATGGGAACATAAGTGAGATCAGGATACATGGTGAAATCTACAAAGAATCAATAAAAGTTAAAAGAAAAAAAGGCAAAAATAAAACTTATGAAGACAAAATGGGAGAAACCTGAAGAACGTGACTAAGTCTTGAAGTTGTTAATCCAATCCAGTCTTGTTTAATTTCAGAATATTCATACTGGAGTATGGTGGTATTTTATTTGTACTGAAATGTGATTTTAATTGTATGTTAGTAAATAAAGTTGCCCGAGGGTCAGAGATATTAGAGCCATAGCAAGAGCGTGGTGGTGGTGGTGGTGGTGGTGGTGGTGGTGGTGCACGCCTTTAATCCCAGCACTTGGTAGACAGAGCTAGGTAGATCTCTGTGTGTTCAAGGATATAGCCAGCACTGGAGACACACGCCTTTAATCTCAATACCAACCATAGAAGACCTGGAAGTCTCTACAAACAGGCAGTGACGAGGCAGTCATGTGTTTGGGTTTACAACCAATGAGAAGGCAGAACAGAAAGACTATATAAAGACAAACACACAGGAAGTAGGTCCTTTTCGGAGAGCTCTCTTGGCTGAAGAGGATAGCTGAAGCAGGAAGGATAAGGCTCTTAGCTCTGACCTCTTGGCTTTCTTCTCTGAATCGGCTCTGTGTTTCTTATTTAATAAGACCGTTGGTTACATCTACACTGGAGAGAAAGCATATTAATGTACACAGTTGTGCTGAGATCATGTCTATTTGTATATTAAAAATTATACTCTCGAGGAGCTAAAGAGATGGGTCAGTGGTGAAGGGCACTGGCTGCTTTTCCAAAGGATTGGGTTCAACTTCTAGCTCCCACCGGCAGCTTCCAATAGTCTGGAATTCCGGTTCTGGTGAAGTGTATTTCTAAGTGTGCTTGTGAAGGACATTTCCAAAGAAGGTTGTTCAGTGGACTTAGTGTTTCAGACATGTCAGGAAAGTGAGTGGCCAGCCAATTGGTCCTGGGTCTGGTTGTAAATAAAAGGCAAACAAAAGTAGAAACCAGCTAGTTGTTTCTTTATTCCAGAGCAAGGTATAATTTTCATGCTTAGATATATAACTCTTAAGTTCTTCAGTTTTTAACTCTATGGTATACACTATAGGTAGATAGAGGCTCTCTAACAACAGGGCTTGGAATGAAGATTTCATTGTTGGCCTTCTTGATTCTTGAACTGAGTTATTCTACAAAAAAAAATTCCTGTTCTACAGGCTTCATGGGTTTTCAAAACTTATAGGCACCCTGTGGTAAGAATTTTTAACATTTGTCATTTTATTAATGAATTGTATGATAAATTTGATCAAATATATATTTAAACACAAAAACATTATATATATGTATGTATATATATATTTATATGCACATATAATTATAGTAATTGGCAATTTCTCCAGAAAATATGATTAAAATAGTTGTAACTTGCCACAGTGTGAATTAAAACAGGAATCAAGTCTAGGGCCAAAAAGTTCCATAAATTGAATTACAGAGATGACAAACAGAACACATTTCCCCCCTAGGGAGGATAGTAAATGAATAACCTAAAGTATGATTACCTACAAAAACAATACTGAGTAATCAGGAGGTTGTAGAATAGACTGGCATAACAATAAGACAATGGCAAACCATAGAAAAACCTCCAGTCTATCCAAGAAGTGTCTTAGTTATGCTAAGGAACCCAAGTAAAAAATATAACCAAGGGCTTAAGAGATGGCTCAGTGGTTAAGAAAGCATGTTTGTCTGGTAGTTTTTCAGAGTCTGGGGACACAATTTCAGTAGCCACTATCCACAGCAAGCAGCTCACAAACACCTTAACTCTCACTGTTGGAATCTGATGCTCTCTTCTTGTGCCTGCAGGGACTTGCACTCATGTATACAGACATAATGTTTTTCCATTGGCTTAGCAGCTATCCTCGAATCAACTGATATTTTAACTACAGTGCATGGCCCCCACATTCAGTGTTCAGTTGCTCAGATCTTATGGTCTGGCAGGATTTCTGGTCCTGCCAGCATTGGCTCTGTTGCTCCAGACTACAAATCTCTAAGGCACTCCCTACTCCTTTGTGTGCATCTCTCTGTCTTCCTGGGTCCTCCATACTTTCTATGGCTAATTCTTGTCAACTAGTCACTGGCTCTGCCCCCTGATCCAAGGTTGACTTTATTAACATAGTCTCAGGGCTTCACAGTATGATCAAATATCCAACAACACATGCACATTCACATAATAAAAAATAAAGGTCAAAAATAATCTTTAAATTATGATCATATGTAATCAAAAGAGATAGTAGAACATAGAAACCATAAAAGAATGTACCCAAATAGGTAATGTTTATATCTTATAATTGGCCTCATCACAAACATTGTGCTCTTGGTATAGGAGCCAGAGAAACCAACTGCAAATCTCTGGAATCTTGGAAACTATCTCCATATATCTTTGTAAATATAGTAAATATATCATTGAATGGGAGTGTATATTTACTCTCACCAGAAATTACCTAAAAGATGCAGTGGTGGCAGTTATAATTATGTTTCCACTAAATGAATAAAACTTTTCCCTGCAAAACACAGTAAACAGAATAGACAAAAAATGGACTATAATATGAATTACTGTAAACTCAAGATAAGAGTAGTCCTCATTATTTCTTTATAACTGGATGTGGTGTATTTGCTGACCTCATGAGCTTAGTAAGTGGCCATTCATTTGATTTGGTAGATGTTTTCTTTGGTATCTTTATTAGAACAAAAGGAACAGACAACAGAATGTATTTATAGTCTTACTCATGGGCTATGATAGTGTTCTGTCCTTTTTCATATAATAGTTTGAAGAAATCCAGGCCATCTGGACATCATGCAGAACATCAATATGCACCACTATTATACAAATGGCATTATTCTAATTAGACTAAAATGAGTAAGGAGTGGCTGAAATGATGTAAAGCCACACATATTCTGGAGTATGGGAAATAGATTCTGTGAGCCACTGTGAGCTCAACATGGTAACATACTTTACAGATCCATCATGTTGGATCATTCTTTCCACAGTAAAGGATGAAGTCTCTTGTGTTTCCTACCATGGGTAGTGAGATGCAATGGCTGGTAGGCCTGGGACATTTTCTCAGAGTTCCTATTGCTGTGATTAAAATACTATGACAAAAAGGAACTTGCACCTCTATCATTAAGGAAAGTCAGGGCAAGAAGTCAAGGCAGAAACTGAAGCAGAAGCCATAGAGAAGTTTTGATTAATTGTTTTTGCAGCCTGCTTTCTTATACCACTCAGAGTGTCACCATCCATGGTGGGCTGAGCCCTTAGAAGTCAATCCATCACCAAGAGCATGACAAGCAGATTTTGTAAGCTTGCCTTCATTTGAGATTTCTCTTCACAGATAACTCTAGCTTGTGTCTAATTGACAAATATCTAACCAGTACAACTGATATATTTTCAGTTTGACAAACATATCACTTATTAAGC